TTAAATCTGGCGTCTAATTTTGGCATAAAAATAATAACACGGAGTCCTTGGTAACTTGTAAAATAGGTAATTTTACAAACTTGTACTTGCAGGCTAAAAATGATGAAATTAGTTTGCAGAATAAAACAAATTGTTGTAAATTTTTCTTTGAAATATTACACAATTTCGAAAAAAGGAAGGATGTTTTTTCCACCTATCTAAGCAGTTTCTGCGACCTGTAATTTGCCCCTTATTAAATGTGGCGTTTAATTTCCTCAAAAAGAAATTGTACAGAAGGACAAACAAATTTTCAGTTTTTAGTTAGTTTTGCATCTTTCAGCTTGCAAAATTCCAGACCGTCATGCTTACTCTGCCTTGAACCCGCAAGTTTTGTAAAATAATTTTACAAACTTTTCCAAAATAAAAAGACATCTTTAGTAGAAATAAGGTTAAAAAAATTTGTAGACTAATTTTAGTCTGTAATATTAGACCATTTTTGAAACAAGGATATTCTTCTCATTAATCTAATTAATCTTTTCGACCTATAATTTGCAAATTTTTAAATGAGACGTTCAATTTTCACATAACACAAATAATGCGAGATATTTTTTTCATTATGCTTGCAAATTTTGCAACTTTTAGCTTGTGAAATTTACGAGATATGGGAATATTGATATGAGTATATTAATAAACATTTGGAATTAGTGAAAGAAATTGTTTTATTAAAAAGTCACATTTCTAAGTCGTTTCATAATTTTTTGGCAGTACGAAAAAGCTAACACTGTTAAGAAATTTGCATCTTTAGAAATTCACGTAGTTCGTTGGAATGGGTTCAAAATTTGACAAAATTAAATGGCAAACCTTCACGCCATTTTTAAAAAGTTTATGAATTTTTGAATGTTACATATAAAATTGTCAGATTTCTTGTTCGGGTATAAATAGTAATATGAAGTTTCGAAATTGGGAACTTTCATAACTATGGATTAGAACTAGTTTATTTGGGTTTGTTATACAAATAATTTTTTTGATCAATTTATTTTATTAATTTTCTTTTTGCCACATTTCGCAAAAATTTTGCTGGACAACCATGGGCTGTTGTTGCAAATTTACCCAGCAATTGGGCATATTCTTATTTCGCAAAATTATTTCTCAAATTCATCCTTACCTGTGCAAATTTAAAATTCGTTGCAAATTTAGTAAGTTTGCAACTTTTAGCGTGTGTAATTTGCAAGAAAGGCGAAGGTTGATGTGAGTATGTAAGAAATTAGTTGAACAAATTTTTTTTATGAAAGTGTCGCATTTAAAAGTCGTTTCGTAAATTTTTTGGCCATAGGAAATGCCAGAGACTACATCATAGATACGTAATCTTTATTTTATGTAGTTCTCAACTTATAAAATTTCATGAATTTTTAAATGTAACAAATTTTAAGGTTTCCTTTTTGTGTGATATGAAGTTTTGAAAATGGGAACTTTCAAATTATTATAACTTCAGTTTACTTGAATTTATCATAGATTGGAAATTTCGTATTTTTTTTGCTCAGGCTGTAAATAGAAGATAGCATTTTTATAATCAGGTACATAATTCTTGGTACTAAACATTGTAAAGTAACATTGTAAAGTCCGTAACTTCTGCAAAAACTTGCAAATTTTTACAAAATTTTACAAATATTTCTGAAAGTTAAGCCTGTTAACTTGCTCATATCAAGGGGTCAGATCAAAGTACTTTATTTTGTAAAAGTTTGTAAAATTATTTTACAAAACTAACAAGTTACCTAGAACTGCGTGAATTACCGTACTCCTTTAAACTTCGTAAACTTCATTTCAATTTGGCAATTATCGCTTCGAAATCTTCCATCTAATTAAAGTTAACGACTCCAAGTATTCTGAAAAAGTTTACAGGGTGTCGCATTGTCGCATATTTGACTAGTACATTTTATGATTTTTTTACGCAGCCTTAACCATGGCTGCTTGAATTGCCTCAGTAATTTGCAAAATTTTGTATAAATAGTTAATTAATAATTAATTAATTGACTTTTAATATGTATTTGTGCGCACAAAACTGAGCTGGTCGTAAATGCAAAAGATTAAATTAAAATAAATATGCTATGCCATGCTTTTAACACGGTTTTACACTCTTAGAGAACCCGTATTAAATTATTATACGCCAGAGTACACATATGTATAACTCAACCGGCACGGTAATAACGGGTACCGTTTTGTAATTTTGTGTTATTGACAAATTTACAACTCAGAAACAAACTACTACCAACCCGGTAGGAAATTTTTACCGAAATTTTTACCGAAATTTTTACCGAAATTATTACCGAATCATTACCAGTACGGAGTATATATGTGAATCAACCGGATTTTTAACAGTATATGCAGTTATTTGAGACTTTTTTAGAATTTGTAATTTACGTGAAATATATATAATTAGATGAAAAATTCAAATTTGTAAGAATTAAACACCAAATTTAATTTTGAGATATTGTTAATTTTGTGTATTTATATCTCTTAGGTCCACATGAGTCTTGTGAATGCAGAAATTGTAAATTTTGTAACTTTGTATTTTGAAATTAATGTTAAAAAAATTAACAATCTTTTTAGAATTATTCTTATCCCAATGAATGAGTTGATTATAATTATATACCTCACCCCATAAAAAAGTAGAATTTACAATTTTTGCAGAACTGATAGCAACCTTTTTTACAATTAAATATATATTTTTTTACGCATTGACAAATATAAAAAATGAATACAAATGTGCTCAACTTGAGTAATTCTTGAAGTCAGGAACTATATATGATTCCAGGCAATATTTGTAATGCTGAGGAAGATAAATTGTTAATTCGTCGCCATTTAAGAAATATTTATCTGGTAATAACCCAGTTAGAATTACCAAACTATGTTCCCATCTGGAAACTAATGATTTTGTGTGAAAATCGAAAAATACAATAAATACTCCAATTATTCATCTACATATCTCTCCTTAACAGAATTAAATTGTGTTTCCACTTGAGTTTCAATCTTGCAAATATTTCATAAGCAGAGACAAATTTCGACATTTTGCTAAATCAAATTGTATTACATGCTTGCAATTATTATTTCCAACTTTTGTAAGTCTAGCATGAAATATATGTGGGGAAGAGGTAGTTCTGAATTTTCAAGATGTTTTACCTCAACAAAATGCAATAGTTGCATCAATTTTAATAATAATAAGAAGCTCTCACTTTCTTCAGTCAAAACTTAATCAAGTGAGATTATCAAGTGTTGTACGAGTATTAGACTTACCGAATATTTAACTTGATTTAGATGGCTCTATAAACACTATAAAATCCAATAAAAGCACGATTTTGTGGGGTGATTGAACAACATTTTTCATGTAAATGACTTCGATTCAACTTTGTCACAAATTTGTTGCCCAGTTTTCTAAGTCACCGGAATTTTACAAGTTTGTAAACAAGAAACTTCGATAATGTTAACAAATTTGATGAAACGTATCAAAAAATTGATACGTTTTTTTGCATTTATAAGTCGATTCGTAACTTTTTGGAAGTTCGGAATCACAAACACGGTTTACATGTAGTCTAATTTTTTATTTTTGGTTCAACATTTGACCAAATGAATGGCAAATTTTATGAAATTTTATGAATTTGATGAACCTTAAAGATTTAAAGGTTCTCGTGGTACTGCAGGTTTATTGAGGCCGTTTTTTTGCTTAGATTGTAAACAAAACTTACAAGGGAACATACCGAGGTGTCCAACGAGTTAAGGGTCGACACCTATACCAAAATGACCACAATACATGACTTATTAAACAAACTGAAGGAATTTCCGTGTAAAATTCACTTTTCGTCAAGTTGTGACGATATTTGTGACGAGCGCATGACCATCGGGTTGCCAGCGGGAGATGTCGGCCGCTGAACGATCAGGTCGAAGAGAAGCGTCGTCGTCTTCAGAGATTTCAAATTCTTTCAAATTTTGAAAACATCTTGAAATTTTGAAAAAAAATTTGAGACAATTTTGAAAAAATTTTGAGAAAATTTTGAAAATTTGAGAAAATTTTGAAATTTTGAGAAAATTTTGAAATTTTGAAGAAATTTCAATTTTTTTCAAAATTTCAAGTGGTTTTCAAAATTTCAAATGGTTTTCAAAATTTGATACAAATTTGAAATCTCTAAAGACGACGTGAAGACGACGACGCTTCTGTGTGTTCGACCTGATCGTTCAGCGGCCGAGCTCTCCCGCTGGCAACCCGATGGTCATGCGCTCGTCACAAATATCGTCACAACTTGACGAAAAGTGAATTTTACACGGAAATTCCTTCAGTTTGTTTAATAAGTCATGTATTGTGGTCATTTTAGTATAGGTGTCGACCCTTAACTCGTTGGACACCTCGGTATGTTTCCTTGTTAGTTTTTTTATATAAAGAGGTAATTCACGCATGCCTTGGCAACTCTGTAAATTCCGTAAACTTTTACAAAATTGTATTTCTCAACACAATTAATTTACACAATTCTGTAAACTTACTCATATCAAGGCCGTCCTTTATTTTGCCAAATTAATATACTAACTTTTACATTCATTAATAAATTCGAGTCAAAAATAGCATTTGTAAAAAAAATAGTTTAGTATTTTTCAAAAAACGTTCACAGTGACCATCATGATTTAGTAGATTGAAGAATGCACGTATTACACCATTATAAACATAATTAGATCAGAAATGATGAAACTTATTAGCCGAGGAGTTTTCAAATTATGAAAAAAATGAAAAGTGATAAATCAAGATTTAAAGATTACTGACAAATCTGTAATCTATCTAATCGTGAACCGGACCGATCATCGATTTTCAACTCATGGATAGAGAAATTCATAACTACAATATTCGTCACCAAATTATTGATCACCACTCACATACACATATTCATATAGAAACTTTACTAATCCTAAGTCGGTAATAAATTATTGCAAAGATTTGTAAAGTAACATTCGTTTTAAGGATTTATTAACTCATTTTTCAGAACAATTTCCCCCGTTTATCTCCCCCTCGTCGCGAAAGATGTGGATCCCTTCGTGTACGTAACGCTAAATCCCGCCCTGCTCGAACCGCTCCTACTTTCACGCGCACTTCCGGCCAGGACGAAATACAAGTTGGGACTTTCCCTCGACAAAACTCGGGGCGAATTGGTGATCAGATCTGTCTGCTTTTTTTGTGACGCGGGTGGCCCCGTCGTGCTCACCTTGCCCGCCCAATCACCCGCTACTTTCGACTACTTTCCCGACTACGTCCTTAACCTGGAAGGCCACTTGTTACGCATAGCCTGTCCCGCGATCAAGTCGCGGATTGAGGCGCTCCCGCCGTACGAAGAGGTCAACAATGCTCAGCGGGGAATGTGGAAAACCATGTTTGAACAGTTTCTCATGGTCAAATTCAACTTTACGTATAACGTTTTCCTCTCCGTGGGAAAAAGTGGGAGTTACATTGGCGGAGGGGGAACCGGACTCGAGCTGGAGAATGGAACTTGGATCGGTGGGTGTTAGTTACTGTTTGAATTTGGCGCTTGGTCTTCATTACCAAAGATACTTAACTTAGCGATAACTGAAAAAGTTGGGGAAGTTTTACCGAAAAAAAAGTTGTCAAATTTGAATTTTGTAAAATTGTTGGCACAATTTCACGGTGATGCCAAATAAACCATAATGACAAATAGTATCAAACCCTAGTCTTAAGTAGTATAAAAAAAATCAGGTTCATGTCACCTTTGAAATCTAACACCTGTAATATTTAAGTGAAATTTTTAAGAAAAAAATTATTGACTTTTACGTCTTACAAATCGTACGATGTTGGTAAATATATTTATATTTCATAAATAATGTAATTTTTTTAAGTATCTCGAAAGTTCTATACCCCTGGGAATGATTTATTACCCTAATTTTCCACGATATTCAAATTTGTCACCACTCTAAAATTAAGTGCTTATTACGAAAGCGGGATTAATTTTAATGTTTTTGACAATCCCATTTTTTATTTATATTTAGGCACTGTAGGCGATATTGTCGCGGGTCGCGCCGATATCGGAATTATTACGGCGAACACGCCAAAAAGAGGTAACAAAACATTATTTACGCGGGAAATTTAAATTCCTAGGTGCGTAAACAAAAAATTAAATCTTTTCAGTGAAAGTTGTTGCCTTCACGAACTCCTTTTTCGACATCAGCTATCTCAACTTTATCACGACGGAAGGGACGCGCGTCTTTTCTCCGGCCGCGCTCCTCTGGTCGTTCGACATCTTGATGTGGGCCTGCATCGGGCTCTCGACCGTCGTGGCGTTCCTCATCTTCAAAATTATTACGCGCACCATGACCGCACTCGGACTGGATAAAGGTGACGCCATGAGTTTCGCGCGGCGCGGAATTGTGAGCCATGAAAATTGGGGGATTCAGCACCAAATATTTTTCGTGGCGACGAGCTACCTCGATCAAGACTGCGTCCTCCCGAGGTTCACCCCGCTGCGGTGTTTCGTCGCGTTGTGGCTCTTTTTTACCTTGATTATTACCACCATTTATAGGTGAGCGACTGTATTTCTTTTAGATAAATTCAAATTTAGCGCTATAATTTAAGGTATAGATTGATACATAGAATCGCCGCATTAGTAATTAATTAATTTAGCTCTACGCGATTTCGATTAACTGAGAAATATTAATAAGCAATTTTGGAAAATTCATAAGTTCCATTTCATGACAAAAATTCATAACTTAAACGACACCGTTATTTCATATTTCGCAAAGTACAGTTTTAAAATTTCTCAGCGAATTTCAGATTCTACGTAAAAATAACACTCCAAAGCGTTGATAAAAAAAATTGATAAAATTTTCACATTAGTGAAAAATGGTAGATTTAAATGTCATTATAGATTTTTTAGGGTATAAATTATAGTTTGTGATTTATGTAGATTTTTTTAGAGCCCTGCACTGTTTCACAAATTGACCACATGTGTCAAATCCGTTCCTAATTTTCAAATCCGGATTAAGGATTATCAATTTTCCTTGGGACCCAAATCCGGATTTGAATTAATTATTCTTGTTAATTAATTAATTTCCTTGAAGTTTTTCAAAATGTACTTACTGAAAAAAATGTTAAAATATTTTAATAAGATTGTGTCATTTGCTTTTTGTTTCTAAAATTAGCACGTTTTAATTGTTTTTCTTATCTTGGAAACCAAAAGGATCACGATTAATTTTTAATTTATCCTGATGGAAAGATTCGAAAAAAATAATTACACACGTGGAGTTAACCAATATTGTAAAATGTATGATTTAAACGACTTTGTCAAGTTTTTTGCATAATCAAATCACTCATAAACCTATCAGATTCATTTTCTTTGGTTCCACAAATCTAATAACAAATAGCAACATAATTTGCAGCGCTTTTACAAAATTCGAAATATTATTAATCAAAACTCTTTTCTGAAAAAGGGTGGAATTTTTGTTACCAAATGTACAAAGAAAATCAACATGTTTTAATTTGCTAAGCATGATTTCCAATAGGCTTTTAAACAAGTTGCCAGGTTTTTCTCTTCCAAAATTTCCTGATGTTTCACAAACTAGAACAATCAAAATTTATATTTGTGGAAAGATTCTAAAAAAACTAATTGCACATGCGGCGGTAACAAATTTTATAAAATGCAGGATTTGTCATTTTTTTGCATAATCAAATTTCCTTAATGTAACTGAGGTGCTTACCCCTCCTCTTGGAAAACCTGGGGAACTTTAACATGGTTCGAATTTTTTTTGGAAATTCAAAACATTGCGCAAACCATTTGAAATGATTTTTTCAATTTTACCTATAAAACTGGCATGTTTTTTTGTCTCAAAAATATATTCGAAAACCATTAATTTGTGAAATGACACATGTTCAGCAGCAATTGCTTATAAACGGGAAAAAATTGAAAAACGGGTTTCTGTCAAACGTGACAATTATTTAAAAGTCTAAACGAGAAGTTTTTTTAAATGTAGCACAAAATAATGTTAAAAATCCCAGCGTCCTTTTTTGTTCGCGGTTCTGATCAAGTCGTCACATTTTAATTTCTCCTTGCAACCCGGAAACTATAATAATAACGATTAAGTAATTTAAAGTTGTGGAAAAATTGTAAATAATAATTATAAACGCGGAGTTATCTAATTCTGCTTGAATGTCAGAGTTAAAAGACTTTGTCGATTTTTGTACATAATCAAATTCCTTAAGAGATATTTCAGATCCAGTTGGGCCAATCGGTAAATCTGGCAAGCGCCAATAAAACTTAATAATAATATTTTAACACTACTTCTATCCTTGTGGAAACCAAATTTATTTAGAAATCAAATACGTAAATCCCGAATAATGCCAAAAATTGTTACCCAGCCGGGAATCGAACCACGGCTCCCTTGAATTCATGTCAAGTGCTCTGACCTCTGAGCTACTAGGGCAATTAGTAACATTATAGGGACTTTTACTGATATTTGTCTGTGGCCTTTTTCTGTGAATTTCTACTTTCTTTTACGGTGGTAACGAACTGTTGCCTACCAAAGAAAGTTCACTTTTGGCCTACGATGGAAAGTTCTTTTTTATTCCGAACTAGGAATTTGTTTTGATTTTAACACTACTTCTATCCTTGTGGAAACCAAATTTATTTAGAAATCAAATAATATAATTAGAAATCAAATCAAATAATATAATTAGAAATCAAATCAAGGGAGCCCTGGTTCGATTCCCGGCTGGGTAACAATTTTTGGCATTATTCGGGATTTACGTATTTGATTTCTAAATAAATTTGGTTTCCACAAGGATAGAAGTAGTGTTAAAATCAAAACAAATTCCTAGTTCGGAATAAAACAGAACTTTCCATCGTAGGCCAAAAGTGAACTTTCTTTGGTAGGCAACAGTTCGTTACCACCGTAAAAGAAAGTAGAAATTCACAGAAAAAGGCCACAGACAAATATCAGTAAAAGTCCCTATAATGTTACTAATTGCCCTAGTAGCTCAGAGGTCAGAGCACTTGACATGAATTCAAGGGAGCCGTGGTTCGATTCCCGGCTGGGTAACAATTTTTGGCATTATTCGGGATTTACGTATTTGATTTCTAAATTAATAATAATAATATAGTAATATTTTAGGAAATACGAAACATTGCGAAAAACTCTTTTGAAGAAAAGGATGAAATAATTTTTCCAAACTAACATCGAAAAATTGGCACGTTTTTATTTCTCAAGAATATTTCGAGACCCATTTATTTGTTAAATAAGCTGTGATGCGAAATGACACGTGTACTATTTAACTTGCTTGAAAACTAAGGAGCTATTTTTCAAACTTGAAAAATGTGCTGGTTTCTGTCAAATTTGAGCAGTTTTTAATGTAACATAGTTAAGATGATCACCACTCTTCTTGGAAGAACTGATTGGAAACACAAACATGACTTTCAAATGTCTTCGGAAATATGAAACTTTACGCAAAACTCTTTTCTAAACAGGATGAAATTATGTTTCCGAATTACGTTGAAAATCAGGATGTTTTTATTTCTCAAAATTATTTCGAAAACCAATTACAAATATTTGTCACATAAGGTGTGACACGAAATGCCTCGAGCACTATGTAATTCGAGTGCTGTAACTTAAAATCTGAGTTAACTAAAAAAAATGGGGAAATAACAAGTTCTTTCAAATTTGAGCAGTTTAAAATTGCATGATTTTAACGTCTGAAATAAAAGTTTTTTAAAAAATTAAGTGGAAAATAATATAAAAAGATCTCTGTATCCCTTTGTCTGGATTTGGTTCCCACGTAGTCGCATTTCACATTTTAATTTTTCTTGGAATCGCGGAAACTTAAATAATAACGATCAATTAATTCAAAGTCGTTGGAAGATTGTAAAATTTAACTTATTGGTTCAAATTATAGGTTTTCTTTGTACTTATCTTTTAAGAAACATTTCTATAACATAACGACGACTTTCTTTTTTGAAGTTTTTTGATAATCTAATTACTGAAAATTCAGTCAGATTCTTAGTTGTTGAATTTATTATAGCTATCAGAAATATTTTGTTAATTATAACTTCAAAAATTTACATAATTTGCAATTCAAAAGCTATCAATGACATCTTTGAACTTTGGAATAACAATAATTTCAAAAGTTTTCTTAAATTATATTATTTTCAGGTCAAAAATGGTCAGCCTTCTCGCGTTCCCCGTTTTGGAAAAGCTTCCCCTAACTTTTGAACAATTGGTGGCCTCTGATTACCAAGTCGGCTTCATTAAACATGGCGATTCTGCGTACAACACGTTGAAAGCTTCGACGGATAAGGTGTACGTAACGCTTGTCGATGAAATGGAAATCATCACGGGAAACGGATTGGAATGTTTGGAACGTGCCGTGGCGAAAAAATATGCCTGCATTGCATACGCCTTCTCCACGATTTACTTAAAGGCGAGAAATTTGTCGGATTCGGACATTAGGAAACTTGTCTTTGCGCCGGAGTCAACGTATAATGTATAATATAACAATTTACAAAATAATTAATTTAAATTACGACGATTATAGTCTGCGCATAAAAATTAAACCACGGACCATACGGATTATTTTTCGATCAGATTTTTTTTACTCATAATGGAGGTTTTCCATCGTATGGTTTCAAATTTTTATTAAATTAGTGTCAATCTATCACAAATTTAACATGAAATTTGCAAAGACACGATGATTTCTGAATGCTCAGGTTTGACATAGACGTTTGTATCCAAAGAGGAATAATATTTGCATCCTATTCGCATGCAAATATTAATATTAAACCTGATCATTGGTAAATATGTAGGTCGCAAAATTTTTATCTGCTATTTCTGTGATTTTAATGACCTCTAATTTTCCTAGATATTTATGGGCCTCGCCCTCGAAGGTGGCTCCATCTACAAGGAAGGTTTCGAACGTTGGCTCGGCTGGACGCGTCCTTTCCATCTCGCCGATTTATGGGAGGAGCAGGACATGTACTACAACGTCCGCCTCCCAAAACGCGCCTGGTGGCTGGAAACCAATCAAACGGACAAATTGGAACATTCCGACTTCGTGGAGAGCGACGACCTCACTCTGAAACACATTTCCGGCGCGTTTTACGCCCTCGCGGGTTGTCTTCTCATCTGCGCGGGAGTTTTTGTCCAGGAGTTGGTCAGCTATTATTGGGAGCGCGAAATGGAAAAAGGTTTAATCTGGGTGAGACTGAAGGTCAGATTGAGGACGATGGTGAAATTGAAGAATCGCAGAGTTGTACGGTTTAATAATTATTATTAGGTAATTAAATAGTGATTGTAAATAAATTAAAATAATGGCATGTATTTAACAAGCATTTCCCTCTTAATTAGTTAGTATTGTGTCATTTTAATTATTGCAATTAATTGTAATTAATTTCCTGTAATTTGTTGGTACATAAATAGTGGAAATAAATCTTGATTTTGAATGAAAATTTATTTGGCGTGGATGTGGTCGCGTATTACAACGCGATCTTACGGGCGAACCCGGTTGGAAATTAGTCGCAAAAAGTGAAGTTTACTCTTAGAAATGGGGTTACGATTATAACCAAAAAGTAAACGAATGTGACTCTACCCCCGTGGTTATGAATTTGTCACCAACTTGTTATAAATTTATTAGCTCTGGTGACAATTTAATACCAAGTCGGTGAAACCTTATAATTAGTCAGTAACAATTGTAAACATTGGATGACAAATTTATAACCACGGCAGTAGATTCATATACGTTTACTTTTTACCTTTTGGTTATAATCGTAAATTCCGTAAACTTAATAACTGTTAAAAAATTTTATATACAAATATTTCTGACGAAAAATAGGTTACAAATTTCTGTAAACTTGCTCAGATCATGGGCGTCTTGTCGTTAATAAAAACTTGGAAACTTACATAATATAGAAAAGTTACGGAATTAACAAGTTATTGATGTCATTGACTAAAAACGAAGAGTTTATCTTAATTACTATTGTGACCGGAAATTCGCAAAGTTCTAAATACGGCGTGTAGCATTGCAAAAATATGTGATATTTTTATCCAATGTGTAGAAAAAGAAGAATAAACATGGAGAAAAGGACAGGAATATCGAACGGATATCGAATTTCAAATTGCTAAGCTTTAATTTCAAAATATTACAACATTTAGAATACTTCTTCCATCTATCGAATTAGTCTGTGCGACCGGTAATTTTCCACTTTATAAATGTGGCGTGCAATTCTTGCATAAAAAAATAATTTTGGATATTCTTACTTTCATTTTGTCTCAAGAAAAAAATATAAAAGAAGAAAAATTAGTTTTTATTTTAGCAAATTTGTAACTTTTAGCGTGTAAAAAATGCAAGAAATGCGAAATTTGATATAAGTACATTCACATATATTTGGAATTAGTTGAAAAAATAGTTTTATTAAAGTGTCACATTTCAAACCCGTTTCTTAATTTTTTAGCAGGAGGAAATTACAAACACTATTTAGATGCATACTTCTTGTAGCTTTTTACGTAGTTCTTTGGAATGGGTTCAATCATTTGAACGTTCAATTTATAAAATTTTATGAATTTGTGAATCTTAACAAACGTTTAGGTTTCTTTTTCGTGTAATATGTAGTTTTGAAAATGGGAACTCTTATAACTTTAGTTTTTCATAGATTAGAAATTTCATATTTTTGGTTGTTCAGGTTGTAATACAAAATATAGCTTTCTTATATTGAGTACATAATTCACGCCTTCAAGTGTAACATTGTAAAATCCAAAATATTTACAAAATTTTGGAAAAATTACTAATGAAATAGGTCAGAAATTATTCTAAGTTTACTCAGCAAGAGAGTCTTATTCACTTGTAAAAGCTTGTAAACTTATTTTAGAACACTTTTACAAGTTACGAAGGACTGCGTGAATTGTTTCATGAACTGCATAATCTTTGTTTCAATTTGGCAAAAATTATAATAATCCCTTCGAAAACTTCCATCTAAATTTAACGTCCCCAAATATTCGAAAAATTGTTAAAGGGTGTCGCCTTGTAGCATATTTGATTGAACAATAAATTTCATATCTTTTGTTGTTCAGGTTATAAACAAAAGATTTGAACAATAAATGATTATTTGCATTTTGTTACAAGAAAAGATCAACGAAGACAAGTTTTTATTTTGACAAATTTTGGAACATTTAACTTGTAAAATTTACGAGATATGCAAAAGTCGATGGAAATACGTTCACACAAATTTGGATTTAGTCGATAAAGAAAATTGTTCTATTAAATCGTCACATTTCCAAGTCGTTTCGTAAATTTTTTGGCAGTACGAAACGACAAACGCTGTTTAGATACGAATTCTTTTACAAAATCCAGGTAATTCTTACCATTCTTTGGAATGGGTTCAAAATTTGACAAAATTAACTGGCAAACCATCACGCCATTTTGTAAAATTTTATATATTTAGGAATTTAAAAAATTTAGTAAATTTAAAAAATTAAGTTTCTTTTTGTTGTAATGCGACGTTTTGGGAATAGGAACTTTCACAACTATTATAATTTCAGTTTGTTTGGGTTTATCATAAATTGGAAATTTCATATATTTTTTAATTCAAGTTGTTAACCAAGGATAGCTTTTTTATACTGAGGTACATAATTCACCCCGTACTTCGTAACATTATAAAATTCATAACTTCTGTAAAATTACAAACTTTTTAGAAAAATTTTAAAATAAAATGAAAATTAGGCTACACATTTTTGAAAACTTACTCAGATCAAGAGCGTGTATTTATTTGATGCTCTTGATCTGAGTAATTTTTTGAAAAACTTGTAGCCTGATTTTCATTTCATTTTGAAATTTTTCTAAAATATTTGTAAACTTATTTTACACAACACTTTTGGATTTTACAAGTTACGAAGGACTATGTGAATTTTCTCATGAACTTCAAAATCTTTGTTTCAATTTGATAAATATTATAATTAGCAATACGAAAGCTACTTACATCTAAACTAAATTTAACATCGCTAAATATTCGGGAAAATGTTAAAGGGTGTCGCATTGTAGCATATTTGAACTTGCAAGAAATGAATTTTGTTATTGATTATATCACATTTTTCGCATTACAAGAGTTTGATTAAACTTTTAGTAATAAATTTTGTCACTGATTTTTTTCTAAGCCAGCAGAATTAGGAAAATTTAGAATTTAGGATAATATTGAGCCTACTCACGACAATATTTCGCATCGCAAGTCATTTAGAAAATTAGCGAAGGTAAAAAAATTTATAGCGGGACTGGATTCGCAAAATTTGACTTCACAAATCGCGCACATTTGAATAGAAAACCACCTTTTTTACGTTATTTCCATGAATTTTTATATAATTGCACTTACGAGGATGAGTTAACGAGATAACATGCCCATTAACTGCCAAATTTATAAATTTGCAAAAGTTCTGCGAAATCTCGCAAATTTCACAAAATTTCGCAGGTTAAGTTGTTATGCCCAATTTTTTATTGTGGCGTTTCATTCTCGGTGAATGAAACGCCTTTTTCTTTTTATTGAAAGATAAAGGACAAAATTATAGTTTTTATTTTGGCAAATTGGCAACTTTTGGCTTGCAAAATTCAAAACCGACATGCTTACTCCTGCTTTAATCCGCAAGCTGAGTAAAAAAAAATTTACAAACTTCTTCAAAATAATAAAACGCTCTTAATCGGAATAAGTTTAAACAAATGTGTGTTCTTTGAAATATTAGACCATTTTTTAAACAAGGATGTCTCTTTCACTAATCTAATTTATCTTTTCGACCTGTAATTTTCTAGATTTTAAACGTGGCGTCTAATTCTCGCATATCAAAAAATATCAAGAAATTTTTGATATTTTTATTTTCATTTTGTTATAAGAACAGATAAGTGAAGGAAATTTTGAGTTATTATTTTATCAAAATTTGCAACTTTCAGCTTGTGAAATTTTTAGTTTTTATTTTTGAAAATTTTCCAACTTTTAAATTGCGAGATATGCGAGGCTCGATGTTTGTTAGTACGTTCATACATAATTGGATTTAAACAAAAATCGTTCCATTAAAATGTCACATTTGAAAGCCGTTTGTAAATTTTTTGGAAATGGGAAACGACAAACACTACATTCGTCAGGTATGTATCGCTTTTAGAGAGTCATGTAAAGAGTAGTTCTTTGGAATGGGTCCAAACTTTGATAAAATTAAATGGCAAATCTTCGCGCAATTTTATAAAATTTTATGAATTTTTGAATATTAAAAAATTTTAAGGTTTCTTTATCGTTCAATATAAAATTCTGAAAATGGGAACTCCAGTTTATCATAACTTAAAAATTTCAGATATCTGAAAAAAATTCAAAACATATTTCTGATTTTTATAAATCTGAGTGATTCACGCTTAGCAAGAGTTTGCAAAAGTGACAGAAAACAGGAAATAGATTATGAAAATTTTTAATATTGAAAACTCCATACAACTTTTAATGATGAGATGTGATTTTTCATTTTCGCTCACTTTGACTCGCCTCTTCTTTTCCTACCTCGCTCGCACAAGCCTCTCCGCAACTCGGCCCTATTATGAGAATCAAACCTACCAACCAACATATTTTACTGCTTTCCTCTTCTTCTTCCCTGATTTATTTCTCTAAATCCTTCCCCAGCCGCAAAACTGCCAAAAATGCAGAGTCATCTTCATGCAATTGCACACACACTTTTACTTGTTCCGTTACAATGTGAAGGCCTCATAAGAATTTCACATCTGTTATCTATTTACCTTTAATTTCTTAAGTTTTAAATCTGGCGTCTAACTATCAAAAAATCATATGGCAAACGCAATTATCAGTCCTAAAAAAATTGGTACTAGTAACTTTGTAAAATCCGTGTTTTGTAGAACGATTTTACAAACTTGTACAAATTATACTGATTTTGATTCAAGTGTTTTTTAATTTACGTACTGTTGAAGGTAAATTAAAAAAGTGTCCAAACATGATGAATTCTTACTTGATACAAAAATATGTGTACCAAATTGTAATTTATAAATTCGAGTGATTTGTGAGAGGAGTAGTTGGCAAAGGTAAAAAAATGGTAAATTTTGATATATAAAAGAAAATACAACCTTCAAACCGGGCTCTCATTTTCTAACCATCTACATACTTCGTACTTGCAACTTATAATTTGCAAATTTTCAAGTCTGGTGTGTAATTCTCGCATAAAAAATAATAAGGCAATTCACGCATTGGTAATTTGTACAATCGGGAAGTTTTGTTAAATAATTTTAAAAATTTTGACAGCACAAATGGACGCCCTTGATAAAAAAGAATATTGGATATTTTTGTTTGCATTGTAAGAAAAGAAAATGGGTCAAATTTAATAAGCCCTGAGATTAACTTAAATCGTCCAGTAAAAATGTCTTATCTTAATTTGTTAGGACGAGTTTAAAACTTTAAAATGCAGTTTTCTCTTAATAACGGTACACGGTAACAAAATATTATAATTATTTTTCAAAATTATCTGTTTTTACTTTGGGAAATTTGCACCTTTCAGCTTGCAAAATTCAAGACCGGCAGGCGTCATGGTTACACCTGCTTTAATCCGCAAACTTTGTAAAATAATTTCGCAAACTTTTCCAAAATAAAAAGATGCGGAATAAGTTTAAATGAAATGTAGACGCCCTTGATCTGACGATGAGTTAGTTTACAAAAATTTGCGAGCTAATTTTCCTCGAAAAGGTTCGCAAAATTTTATAAAAGTTTGTCGTTTTACAGAATTTACAAAGTTTAAAATGTTACTGCGTGAATTGCACTATTTGTAATGTTTACCCATGATTGCACGCCACTTGCATAGATAAATTAATGCAAGTGAGTACTTAGGAATCAAAGAAACCAGACATTAACTATTTAACAATTCTGGTTTCCAACTAAATAATCTTGAAATTAATAATGTTTTTTGAACAGGTTTGACGTTTTTTTTTGCATTTCGATATTTTATTGGTCGCAAGCAATAAAAAGGTAAATAATTGAAAAAGCTTGTGATAGAAGATTCATTTTCATGTAAATACATAAATGGCACATATTTAAATAATATCCATTTTTGCCTACAGGTGAAAACGCTAATTACTATGATCATTAAGTACTGATCAGCAGTTTTTATCATGTTTTGCATTATGTTTTAAATCGTTGCATTTATTTTGTTACTTGATTTTTCGCTAATGTGCAGATTTTACTATTTTTTAAGGGTGGATTTTTTTATCCTGAATATTTTTTTTAAATCAATTTTTATCCGAAATTTTATACTAAATCTATGAAAATTTATGGCTATTAAGATATTTACCTCGTGTGTATATATGAATAGATAATAATTTATACTTCTAATCGCATTTAGTTAAAACAATTTGGCAAGAATTTCCTGTACAAAATCATTTCGAGATTTTTGTTACAAGAATATACTTGCATATTTAATTTAGAAATCTGAATTATAATTGGAGGTTGATATATTCTGAAGAAAATAAAGTCCAGTGTGAATAATAGGCAAGCCTCATGTTTACTCTAATTTACTATTTTTGACATTACTTTCTTCCAGTAAAAGTTCCGTATTTTGCTAAATGGACATAATGAAAATTGTATAAATAGTGAGGGTATTTATTACACTCTTAAAAAAATCAATAACCGTTGGTATTGATACGTGACTCTACCGCGTGGTATTCATCCGGTATTGAATTAATACTACGTGGTAAAAAATTTAATACCAATTAGTATTAAAATTATTACCGTGAGGTATAATTTCAATACCGGTTCTATACCAATACGGTATAACCGTTTAATACCAAGGCAGTAGAGTCACGTATCAATACCGTTACGTTTTTTTTCAATACCAAGTTTCTAAGAGTGTACGAGTTCGCAACGTTAGCAAAAAAAGTCACAAGTTAGTAAATTTGCAGACCTACACACCTCCAAGGATAGTACACAAGTGTGAAATATTTGTAGTTCTCAAAAATTTTCCCAAAATTATGCGAATTTTCGATCCAAAAATGCAAACTCGTAATGAATACCCCCATTATATTTCAATTTAGTTCACACTTTGTATCCTGTAAGAGAAATAAATTAAACATCCTTTGTTTATAAAGTTGAATAAGTATCGTCGTTGTGAATGGACTCATTATGAGCTAAATTAAAAAGGTACATCATTGTGCTATCTTAAACTCACTACATAGCTGAGCAAATTATTGCACCAATTTCAGCTAGCATAACACACAATGTACCTTCAATGGTGTAAAAAGTTCGAATGAAAAAAAAACATGAAAGACAAACATTTAAGTTAGATTTAATTTAGGCATGCATTTTTTTTTAACTTGATCGAATTTAACGTTGTTTTTGAATGTTTTGAGATTTGATAATAATAATTGGTCATAAGAATGGGTCCATTCTGTTCCAGATATAATTGTGTATACTATGCACAATTATATGTTGTATGTGGAACAAAATGGACCCATTTCTCTGATTAATTATTATTATTGATATTGTAGGTTCATACATAATTACAAATCTTAAAATTAAGACCAATCTTTGAAGAAATTCTTTCCACGAATGAATACGTGAATTTGAAAAGCTACCCAGGTCGTAATTTTAAGAAATTTTAAGTCAATTACAAGTTCGGTGAAAGACTTAGATCACAACCTTCAGACGCCAAATACGAATTTCACGAAAAACTGTAGAGGGAAGTACGGCGGCTTTAAGTCCGACACAAATCTGAGTCTTTACGCGAATCACAATAAAAGCACCAATGCGTCATGTAAACGAGTAGGAAAAACATGACCGGATTTAATGTCACGATGCCTCCAAATGAGCCAGATGTTGTAAAACAATGAAACCAGGACAATCTTGAGCTGCATCTCATGGAGAAAGTTGAACATCTCGATTTACATGTCTATCACGAAAAAGGAGAGTGAAATGTGGCAAGTTGGACTAGATGCAACATGCTACTTTGTAAGTTAACAAGTCAAATCACACCTTACTTCCGGTGTCGATCACACCAGGAACGAGCAGCAGGAGGCGGAATGAACCTCATCGTCGCAATGTTGACTTTCCTACTTGACGTTTCTCTCTCACAGACGGACGGAGGATTAAAAACGTTGGCTGAATCCAACTCTGGACAAAATTTGGTATCTTCGTCCCTCGAGAGAATTGTGCTGAACTGACCGATCTGCTCTCTTTTGAAGTTCTGTTACTTTGCTGTATTTTCTCAGAATTTACTTTCGCTTTCCTCTTAACCGGGTATTTCCTTTCCGTGCAAATAAATCCAAGTCGTCTCCAGTAACATTTTGAAACTTAATATTTTTAAGAAATTGTCACCAAGGTTGAAATTTGGCTAAAATTCGCACTCCCAACAAGGCAGTTTTAACTTCCGGTTGAGTGCACCTTCATGATTCATTAGTTTTTTAAATCATTTCTTCAAGTAAATCTAAAACATTTAAATACTTAAATCGCCCATTATTCATGTCTTTGAACTCATAATTTGTGCAGAATTTGAGAGATTTTTTGCAAAAACAGATAATTTTTTGCAGAATTTCATACAATTTGTTTATATCTATATAAACATACAATTTTGACACGTTGTAACTTTACATTTGTAAACTTCACATTACACGGTAAAAAATCCAAATCAATAATAGAATTCAAAATATCCACTTTATTAAAACACATTAAAACCAAACCTATTTATAACTCGAAGGATGGGCGGAAGTGGCAGCGGTGTGAGCATCCGGTTGTTGCGGAGAAGATAAAAATTATACAATTGGAAAAAATTCTCTTATTTATTGTCTCTTTTCTCCCTATTTGCACAATAACCAAGCAACCACTGCACAATTGCTCCTCTCTCATCTCGCTGGATTTTAGGAACCATGCCAGGGTTCCCTATCCATGTGGTAATTACATCGGCTGTGAATACCTGGAAAAATGTTATTCGGGTAAGAAAATACAACGGGATTTATATGTTTAAGAACCAATCACGCAATCCTTCATAACTCTGTGAAATCCGTGCGTTTTGTAAAATAATTTTATAAACTTTTACAAAATAAAAAGACGCCCTTGATCTGAGCAAGTTTACAACAATTTGTAGGCTAATTTTCCTGAGAAATATTTCTAAAATTGCGTAGAAGTTTGTAAGTTTATAAAATTCATGAATTTTACAGTGCGCCATGAATTGCCTAAATTCTATTAATCGACCCAAGTAGGAATTTCCGGAACCCTGAGTGCTGGTTTATTTGTGTTGCATCGTCCACCCAGGAAGATTTATCTCGCTGCCCACTTTCACCCGAATCTCACCCTTGCTTTCTCCACGCTATTCTTGGACCTTTACGACTTCCAACGTTCCCCAGAACACGGAAGAGTTACAATAATTCGGATAATATTTATGGCACAATAACCGTCGCATAACTTTATGTAAGCAGTGAAAGAGATGCGGATGTAATGTAGCAATTAATTGAAAGTTGTTACGAATCCTATAATTTCGAATGTGGTTTATACATTTCAAAAGGATAATTTAGATTCGCCGTAAGTAACTTACGGTAAGTTAATAGGTAAGTATTAGTTAAAAAAGTTGTATATATATTTTTAAATTTTGCACTAAAATACTTTGGTTTTTCCGAGTCGACAAATTTCAACAAATAATTATGAAACTGCTGAAGGAACTCTCGTCAACGTTTGTAACCATCGTAACTGCGTAAGGTTTGTGTAAGATTATAAGTTTTTGAATGTTTAAATTGCGCTAAAACGGCTACCAAAAAAATATCACATTTAGTATAAGTTTTGCTAAATCGCGACGAGTTTTTATATTTATGCAGGAATCTCCTTCCATCTCAGTAGTTACTAGAATTATAAAACATTTCGTTTTTACTAAAATGAAGTGCAAGTTTGGCAGACAGTGGTGGTGTAAAGTGGTTTTGGTTTGGTTGAAATCTTAGAATTATGCAGTCCATACAACTATACATAGTTCTCAGTCAATAAAACCTGATCAATTGAGAATCCAACAACCTCAAGTTAAGTCAAGTAATCCTTTATTAACATGTCAACAAATATCAGTTAATATAAACTGGTCTCCAACCTGAAAAATTCTCCTCCATTTTCTTACTTAATAATAGAATCGTATCATTTGATGCTCCCCTCTCCAAGTTGACAAGTAACTACTGTTTATCCGAAAAAAATGTGGCCTTCGCCCAGCCAATTTTCTCTAAAAGGTTAAAAGGCTCTAAAAGGCTGGCAGCTATCGTAATTTTAAGGAACATCGTAACAACTTTTGAATTTTGACACTTAAATAAATTTCTGTAAAGGATAAAATAATTAAAATAGACAATTTCCGCCAGGTAACCTTTTAGAATTCCTAGGGCCACATTTTTCTCGGATGAACTGTAGTGGGAAACAGGAGCTCGGAGAAAGTAAAATGTGCTAGTCTGACTGGACATCCCCGTGAATTTATTGCTGATGATATAAATCTCCTCCCAATCTCCACCTATTATCCACTGGGTCGGTGGGCAAGCTTAAAACTTCTCACGTCAGATCACACATGGCTTTTTGCTTGTCCATCTTTCCTAAGAATTCGCAGTTGACACTCTCATTTGTCATGATTACACAACTTTATCCATGCTACGTAAAAGTGTGGACAGCTTAAAATTTCAGAAGCACATTTGTTCCTCTGGTGATTTCAATCTAGTTTTTTATAAATCTAAAATATATCACACTTATTTACACCACCATACTCATAACACGCATAATATGGAAAATAATGCGGTAACAAAATTTTAATGAGTGTGTAGGTAACGTAAAAATTCCGGTGTATTGGAAAGTTACATGGATACAAAATTTGTCCGGTTTATGTATTTTTTACCAAGTTCTCTCAGTCTATGTTTTCAGTGGAAATAATTCCGCTAAAAGTTAATGTCTACGTAAATCTCTAGAATCTTAAAAGTTCTAGGGTGCTTATTTTCTTGGGGAAAGTCACCAACTTTATTTTTCAATGCAAATCTTATCTCAGTGAAAGTAGGTTTCATTCACCTTTCGCCTTGACCAGATTATACGAGACCTGCTATCGTCTCGTGCATAGGTCCAAGTAGTAAATCGGATACTGTCCAAGTATAAAAGGTTCGGCCACATAAAATATTTGGGTTCTAAAGAGAATGAGGTATTGTACTCGCTTAAAAAGATTTAGTTTTCTTCTTTTCGACCACTTTTTCTACTTCACTGTTTCATCTTTTTCAAGGGAATCGTCCACTGTGGATTGTAATCCAGTCCTGATTCTCTTATTTCTCATTCCTTTGATTACCTGAACCTCTTCCAGGACACGTGAGAACAATACTTGCTGACACATGTCAGCGGGGTCCACGTCAACTCCAGCTCGTGCTTCGTACACTATTAATATTTAGAACAAGTATTGCAATTTCTCCCCTAAAATAGGGTAGAATTGAAGAATTATTAACTACTATGATTTGAAAAAATGTAGAAACATAATTTAAAACATGGCAAAAAATCTGGAGAATTGAGAACTGACGTTACCAGCTTTTTAACGAATTGAAAAATGTAGTGATAAGCTTTACTAGGTCCTATCAAATCTCATCTCCATCATCTCATCATCTGGTTTAATCATATTACATAGCCGATACACCATAAATGTATTTCCGACGTTGAAAACCAACATATTTTTTGCATAATTATGACATTCGTGTCGTAAAACTGGATCAGGGCAAATTGTCAGGTAATGTCCCTACCAGTTTCATTTGTCTCAGTGGCTGACAAAAGAGCTCGCCCGACGGGTAGAAATGGATGTATGTCTTTTCGGCCGAAGTCGTGCCATGGTGGCACAGGGGACAAAACATCCGATCCCAGTTGAATGGGATCTGACCGGCACAGGTTCAAATCTCTGCCCAGACATTATTTTTGCACTATAAATTTTTATTTACTTGCATTATTATATTACCAATTTACAATTACTATACAAATTAACCAATTTTTCTTTATAACTAGAGCATTTTAACCTTTGCTGTGCGTCCGTGCGTTCAATCAATTAACTTTTATTAATGATAACTTCGAAAAATGTTTACAAAATAACAAAAAAATTGATATTAGCATGTGTCAGAGCTCGTTAAATTACTTGGTACGCAAATTTCAAATTATAATTTCGTTCCCAATATTGCTTAAATTACAAAATTACAATGCTGGTTACAAAGTTAGATTTAATTACAAGCTATTGAATAATTGAATTCCAACACAAATTTTAAAATAACACTAGAGATTATTAATGAACATCCAAAATTTTTGGCTTAAAAATTCATCTACAAACTTGTGCATCTGCACGGCTGGTAATTATTTTCCATTTTTGTTTCAAAATGCTACGATACGAACGTGCTAACTCGTAATGAATACACTCAACATAAAATTGTTACCGTAAAATCTAGCAAATAAATATTTATGATTTTTGTTATTGTGCATCTAAAGTGGGCACTGACGGCATCTGCCTCTTCTACCTCTTCCTCTGCCACGAGTAGCTGTTGTGTCTACCATATAATTTCCTATCTCAAGTTCCCTTTCAAATATGTCGTACGCCCAGTCGCAATCCCAGAGGGACAAGTCTCCTCCATGATCAACCTGGTCGCCATTCTCCATTACAACAGTTGTAGCTCGCGCTATGCAGTCTTCTTGATCGCTATCTTCATCACCACTATCTTCATCTTCTTCTGTTATTATAATTGGAGAAGTATGTGTTTCTTCTAGTATTCCATCCTCCTCCCAATACTTATTTTCTAACCTTAAAGTGACAAAAAATACAAATTTAACACATTATAATATATAGGCGATAACTACATGTCAAAATTCAAGTCCGTTCTAAAATTATCGTGGATACGGACGGACGGACAGACAGGACATTTCCATAAAGGGATTTCGCTTCAGCCCTTAATAATGTACATCTGAAACCAACCTCTTAGTATGTTTAAAGTGATTTTTAGCTAGGGTTTTGTCATAATTCTTTAATTCTTCTTGCATTATCAACTTGATGTCATCTAAGTTTTTGTTGTGATTCCTTCGTTTGGTATTGTGTTTTGTGTCTTTCCAGCACCTCTCTGTAATACGTCACCAAATTTAAATATGGATACTAACAATGCGATGGTGTGAGGTGGTTATCGCAGATATCCACCGGACTAATTGTAAATTGTTCACGCTCAAAAATAAGTGGACCCGTATTTTTGCGTTTTCCTGAATGGGCATGTTTACACCCGTGGGGGAATTTTAAGAAAAACTTAGGCGAAAATTCGGATTTTTGAAAACGCTGTAACTTTCGAATTTTAACCCGATTTAAAAAAATAAACCCAATTTTTGTTAAGAATTACATCCCTTAAAATATAAAATTCATTTTTAAAAGTTTAAAAAAATTGATATTTTCATGCTATTTCTGAATTTCTAGACACCAAAAAACCGATTTTTTGAAAATTAAAAGTTTTTTGAAAATGATTTTTATTGGCTGAATTTTTTTTTTGAAAATTCCGCCACGGGCGTGGACATGCCCATAAACGCAAAAATACGGGTCCACTTATTTTTGAGCGTGAACAATTTAAAATTAGTCCGGTGGATATCGGCGATAACCACCTCACACCTCCTCATTGTAAGATATGTCAAAATTATATATATTACAGGTCATGCAAAAGATATCTTAATGATTGGATTAAGATCACAGTTGTAAGGTGGCAACCTTAAAACCCTGTGACCCCGCTGTTTCGTCAATTTGTCGATTGTATATAATTCATCCCGCATTTCCGGCAACCGAGCTACTTTTCCAGCATATCTTCCAGCTCAAATTTTCTTATTGCTTTCATATCAGAGGGCAATTTAATATTTAGACCAGGCATTGTTGTATATTTCTGCAAGAAATTGTAAAGAACTTCTTTCCTTTCTGATTTCCTTGGTAAAATTTTGGTGGAATGATATGAAGCATTGTCCATTATTATGATCCATTTTTCATTTGTCCTGTCGAGATAATCCAACAACTTTATATACCACGATTGAAACGTTTGGGTATTTACATTGTCATGATAATCGCTTGCAGTCTGGGATTTTGACACTTTGTATACGAGAACAAGTTCGGGGATTATACCATCTTCGGTGAGGGCTGACATAACAATCAGACGAGGACCTATAGATAGTAATTTTGTACTTAAATTATTGGTTTATGGTAAGGTGACGGCTGCCGGGCTTCTGTTACTCCTGCAAGTCGAGCCGCCACTTCCCTGGGAGTACCTTCTAGAATAGATGGGTTCGTTTTTCCTTGCCGCAAAGAAACCCAAACATTGAGTATTGCCTTCTGTGCGGTCGACTATAAAGACTTTCCAATAAGATCGAATTCATATATGATTTCGGAATTAGGAGAGCACTTATTTGTTTCCCCTGGTGTTTCGTCAGTGTCTGCAAACGATGATATTTGAAATGGGTGAATGCTATCGGTGCATCTACTGTATGTCTGCAAAATATCTTGTTCGTGAAAAGGTATAACGGTTCTAGTTGCAAATATGTTGTCAACACGATCCTCTGGATACCCCTCGTACATCTTTTGAATTATTTTTCCATGGGTGGGCCCGCATCCTTGCCCGTAAACAAACAAATCAATCGCATGTTCCTTTATTAAGGCCAAGAGATCTGGAGTTAGTTGCATTGGCACGAATTCTGTGTCGACACCTAAAGTTCTCTTACTCAATGCAAATCTCTTCATCTTCCGACGATCCTTAAATTTAAAGTATAGGAGCAGTATAGCAGTAGGGTGATAATTTTCATAAGGAATTGCGTTGCTATAGCCTGCTACTGAGCTGTATATATGTTCCACAAATGGTTCGGTTATTTCTTGATTCACATTCTCCGTGTCTGCGGTTCCAATAACTATATACCACTCGAGTGCTTCATCGGGTAAAACTCGACGAGTTGGTACAACCTTGCTTAAATCGCTGGAAAAAACTAAGGCTGGTTGTATTATGAAATCCGTTTTATAAGTTCCTATGTCAACAATCAAAGTCATGTAACCATCCATCTTGTCCAAGTTGCTTTTTTTTGTTTTTTTACCGCATCGGTGTACTATTTCTATATACTGTTTTTTTGAAAGGGTGTTCAACCATCGCTTCGTTGGAAGGATTTCGTTAATTATGGTGTAGCATTTACGTTGGTCTTGACTAGTTGGAACTTTACGAGCATCATCCTCCACTTGTATACTAGTATTATCATCAACAGCATCGTCCGGTGATGTATCCATGGCGGTACCTGACTCCTCCTCCTCTTCTGCATTTTGAGAAGTTGATGGGATTATTTGTGGCGTTGTGTTTATATCTTTGGGGAGGAGAATCGGAGGTAGTTGAATTGATGTTGAAGAACTTGTAAAGGAGTCAAATGGTTTCATGTGAAAAAGTTTATTTAAGCAAGGGGAGAAAGTCACAGATAAATTTGTGAAAATATTTATCTCCAAATTTTCAAAGTCTTGAGAAATAGTTAAAGCAATTTTGTGCGAGCCAAAGGATTGTAGAGCGTTGTTTATGGTCTTCACTGTTGAGGGATACGACATGTATTGAGGTGGTGGGATATGGATACGCTGTATAGCTTTCTGAGTAAGCGTAATAATAAATTCCTGATCCGGATCAAGCCCATTGAATATTTCGTCGTCAGCTGAAGTACTCCCAGTATATTCTCCACTTGCATGAAACTGGGTTTGGTTAATACCCAAAACTTGACTTAATTCTTCTGAGAAAGTTATTATATATTTATCGAATTGATCCAAAAACGTTATTATTGAAGTTGGTTGATTTTTGGAACTTGAGATTGTAATATTCATAAAAAATGGCGATTTAATAAAACGGCGGTTTATACTTTGAATTAAACCGAGGAGAGAAATTGCGTCTCCTTTCATAAATGTTTCAGATGAACTAGTCAAGGAAACAATGGTAAGATTTTTGCTGCATTTATTCCATTCGTCTTTGAGAGTAAAGGGGTGTGCCGATGTGGAATTTTTGTCAAGAATTGTCAATGTGGAGCCAATTAATACCGGATCCAAACCAAATTGGAGATTGAAGTCTTCAGTGAATTGTAAATACAAACTTGAGTTGGACTTATGGATTGCAAATTTAGTTCCGTCACATGACAGAAGCACTTTTACTGCACCATCAGTCTGATTTGAGAGACATTCAATTGACTTCTCCAGAGTTGAATTTACTGTAGTGACAATTTTCTTTGTAGTCCATTTATGAAAAAATAACGTCCATAATTCATTATGTGGTGGTCGACCTACATCAATTTGGGACATTTCTGACGGGTAATTCCCACTACCAGGGAAGATACAACGTGTGTACCCTAAAGTTTTGCACAAGTTCTGCGATAAAGAGAAAGTATATTCCTTGGTAGGGTCAATAAATGAAATCCAAGTTCTGTTGTTCTCCCATGAATGGATGGAGAACTTTATGCCACCGAAGTTTTTTTCGTTCGCGGCAGAAATAAAAGATGCAATGTTGTATTCCCCCGAAGTGAATGAAGTCGTTTTCCGGTAAAGTAGGTTTGCAATGCTATTGAGAACATCAACATGATTATTGGTGGTCTTAACTTTGTTAAATAAAATTGTGCCATCAGTAGGACATCCTTCTTCACCATGATGATGAAAAGAGGCCGACATTATGCGGGATTGGATGAGTATGATCAATACGAGTTTATCTGTACACACAACAATGTTTTAAAATAATTTTTATGACAATTTTTTTATTTAAAACACGAGCAACTTACGTAGCATTATTTCCATCCTGGTAGTGGGTAAAATCAGTTATGCCTTATTAAGAGCGTAGCTTAGCTCTCTTGGAAATATTAATCAACAAAACTTGAAACACAATTAAATATCAAAGTTCTTGCCAAATTTACGGACAGAAGTTAAAAGTGCAGTAATGAGCAAAAAAATAATTAAAGGCTTGCAAAACTGAGGATGAGTTGCAATTGCAGATCACATCGCTTACTACGCAGTAGAAATGAAACGAGTGCGATGCAAAACTTTCCATTCGCAGTTTTTGTGTCAAGGGGAGGTGCATAAAGTACATCACCGATTTTACGCCAACGCTTTGCTTCAAATGTGAAAATGTACATATTCAATATCCAGATATGTATGGCCCCACCCGACCCTAATGCCACATATTTACGAGGTTGTTGTGTCTGAATTTTAGTGTTGCAAGTATTAGCGAAACTGAGGATGAGGGCATGACTGCAAGTGCAGGTTAAAATCGTAGAGATAAGGAGGAAGCTAATTAACGGATTGGTAATATTGGAACAAAGTAATTTCCATTCATTTTTGTAAATGTTGAGACTGCAATGTATGTAAAATGGTGAGAAAAAATGGTAACAGTTTGCTGCCAATTTGCCATTTTTGCAAAAAAAATGATGACGAAATTGCTAAATTTGACCCGAAACTAATTTCTTAAGCTTCTTTTATAACTTTGCTCGGTTTTCAAACAAGTCAGATAGTGTTGTTATTTGATATCACATTTTGTAGACAAATAAATACTCTTGAGATATATAAAAACATGCCAATTTTTTGGGTAAATTTAAAAAATTAAATTTCATCCTTTTCTAGAAATACGTTTTGCTTAATGCTTGCAAAACCTATTCAAGTTATGTTGATAATTAGCAAATGTTTCAAGTCAATTCCATCTAATTACTTTTTAGAACCTTATAGCAAGACTTAAATTATTGTTATTTTAGTTTCTGAAATATGATAAATAAAGATATTTCTATTTGCTGGGTTAAATTTGTGAGCGAAAATTAACCACGCAAGAGATTAGGATCTTGTGAGATTTTATATATCACAGTTCTTAAACATTTTTCGTTCCAACATTAAAATGTTGCAATTCCAAATTTCTTAAAATTTGACAAATGTTTTTTGCTTCAATGTATCAAATTTGTGAAAACTACAAGCCATGTTTATTTTTTCCAGACGACAAACGCTTATCTGGGTTATCACGAATTAGTGAATTTTATTATGCAACAAAGTCGATAAAGTCGTTTAAATCTTCATATTATGAAATACTTCATTATAATTCGTTATCTTCCTTTTCAGAGATTAATAATATAAGTTGAATAAAAATATGCCAATTTGGAAATCAAAACAGTCATCAAGGAAATACATTGGAATTTTGTAACATTACTTTCCTTCCACTGCATTTTTAAGAACTTGTCGTTCGGACGTTTAATAAATAATGCAATTTTAAACTGCTCAAATTAGGTAGAAAACGGTCGTTCGCATATTTTTTTTATATCTACCCTTGTTTTATAGCCATTAGCTTTTAAGTCAAGTTATCAAATAAAAGATGTAAAGTAAATGCGTCATTTTGCGTCACAACTTGTTTGACAAATAAATGATTTTCGCATAATTTTAGGAAATTAAGATTTGAGGATTTGGTAAGTTGTTGATGTGGTCAATTTGCGAAATTCGGGTTTCGTCATCATACAGTCTGGTTCCAGTGCCGGGGGATTGGAACTTAGTACCTGGGAAACGTCACCCAAAAGTTCCGATTCCCTGGACTTTTTAGTTATGCAAGTTACAGGGAAATGGAACCCACTTGTCGCAGGATTTAGCGGGTGCCGATTCCCCGGTACCCTATTACGCAAAAGTTACGATTCCCCGGAACCCAACATTTTTCTTTCCTTTTTCCTAAAGTGGATAAATTTCCGCAGAAAATTTGTCGGATTTAAGGATTAACCAAATTAACCTCCAACCAATGAAGAACATTGGATAAAAAAATTAGAATTTTTTAAAGTGGCGTTTTTCCTAAAATCACAAATATCTGACAAATTTGAGGAGCGGCAAGCTCAAAAAGGTCCGGGGAATCGTCACCAAAAAATTATTTGTATATGAAAATCATTGTTGGGTGACGATTCCCCGGACCTTTTTGAGCTTGACGCTCCTCAAAATTTTCAGATATTTGTGATTTTAGGAAAAACGCCACTTTAAAAAATTCTAATTTTTTTATCCAATGTTCTTCATTGGTTGGAGGTTAATTTGAGATAATACAAATTGTCTGCGGAAATTTATCCACTTTAGGAAAAATGAAAGAAAAATGTTGGGTTCCAGGGAATCGTAACTTTTGCGTAATAGGGTACCGGGGAATCGGCACCCGCTAAATCCTGCGACAAGTGGGTTCCATTTCCCTGTAACTTGCATAACTAAAAAGTCCAGGGAATCGGAACTTTTGGGTGACGTTTCCCAGGTACTAAGTTCCAATCCCCCCGGCACTTGAACCAGACTGTCATAGTTGTTACACTTTGATATTATCTAAATTACACTTTTAGTATTAAAACAAGGCTTAAAAACCTCGCTGAAATTCGTGGAAAAAACTTTCCAAGTAAGAAATCTGGTTTAATTTGACTAAATACCACGCAAGTTTGGAAGGAAACATGAATTAATTAGCAAACAAAATCGTAAGAAACACAAATTTAAATCAATGGTCCAATGCATTCCAATGTTTGCAAACTGCGTAAAAACTCCTAACATAACTTTTCAACCCTATAGGTACTTTTATTTTACACAGTTTGCAAAAATTCGAGTTTCGAAAAATTTGTTTCAAAATAATCTTGGGAAATAAAAAAACACACATGGATTTAGTGTGTAAAATTGGAAACAAATTCCATCCTTTTTCTAGAAAAGAGTTTTGCACAATGTTTCAAATTTGCGAAAACTTAGGAAATAAATAGTTTTATTTATAAAACTATAGTTTTATATATTGTCATATTTGCTATGACATCTATATCATTGAGAAAATTACATCTGTAGTATATTTAAGTAATTTTATTATAGAAAAATCTTGACAAAGTCGTTTAAATCGGACAACGAAACCTTTTTTCAAGCTATACCGCGATTTTCTAGCGAGTTATATCAAAAAATCAAGCCAAAAATTAGGGATCACGTGACACTTATCTTTCCTTTGAATGGCCCCTTCGAAGAAAAATATTGGCGGCTAAGTTCAATTTTGGAATTAAATTTCTCCCACTTCTTCCTCCACGGGCCGAAAAAAAGGGGGCGTGACTTTGCCCCCTAATATTTTACTTCAAAGGGGCCATTCAACGGGCAGACAAGTGCCAGTTTACTCCTAATTTGTTGCTTGATTTTTTGACATAGCTCGCTAGAAAATCCCGGTGCAACTTGAAAAAAGGTTCCACTGTTAGAATCTTTCTCAACTATGTGTAAACGTCTTATCTCAGCACTACGTTTTTGGAAAATAGTGAAAGAACCCTCCGTCAAGTTTTAAAGTAAGTAGAAATGATTAATTCACCACAAATCGTAAGAAACATAAATTTAAGTCTTCGAAGGATTATAAAATGCATAAAAATTTGTAACGTAATTTTTCCACACTATCTTTGCTCAGTTTACAAAAATGCGAGTGATATATACTAATTCCAGGATACGTTCTTATTACAAATCAAAAATATCAATTAACGCAGTCATTGGTAACTTGTAAAATTCATAAATTTTGTAAAATATGTCATTTTACAGAATAAAAAAGATGCCCTTGATCTGAGTAAATTAGCAAAAATTTGCAAGCTAATTTTCCTCAGATATATTTTAGTTACAACTAAAAACTTGCCTTTTTCGAACGCTGAACAAGAACCTTTTAACAATATATTCCATTACAATTTGAAAAACTTGCCATTCAGACGTTAAAATGTTGTAAAATTGTAAACGGATAAAATTGGACATAACATTTGCACATTTTTTAAGTTTGTTTATAATTTTCTAAGAAAATTATAAATTTGAAATTTTAATGCCCAGACCATAATTGTCATTATTATGATTAATTATTTTTTAATTGTCATGTTACATTATACGTCGATTCCGGTGCGAAGACAAGTTTCCTAATTTCCGAATCTGACAGATTCCTCGCCTTTAAGTAAATAAATCGTGGAGAAAGCGTAGGCAATGCAGGCAGATTTTTTCGCCACGGCACGTTCCAAACATTCCAACCCGTTTCCCGTGATGATCTCCATTTCTTTCACGAGTGTCACGTACACCTTGTCCGTCGACGTTTTCAACGTATTCTACGCAGATTCCCCATATTTGATGAAGCCGACTTGGTAATCCGAGGCCACCAATTTTTCAAAAGTTTGGGGAAGTTGTTCCAAAACGAGAAGGCTGACATTTTTGATCTGAAAATAAAATAATGCAAAACTAAAATTGAAAAATTTTTGTTAATGTGGTTGACTTACATATGTATTAATTTTGTATTCGGTCGTCAATTTGCATAATTTTGAAATTTCCATTGTCGAAATATTTTTGATAATTATAATTCAGAGAATTTGACTGAATTTTGAGGAATTTGATTTTCAAAAACATCTAAAACTTGCCGGTTTTGGTAACTTTTTAGTGAGACATTTCAGTCTGCCTTTGTAATTTGTAACCAGGTAAGTTTACAAAAATCAGCTTGCGAATGATTGACATTTTGTAAGTTTTTGTAAATTTATAAACACAAATTACCTCTTGAGGAAAACGAAAATATGTTAACTCTTAATGACTTTATCATGCAACAAAATTGACATAGTGGTTAAAATTTTACCCT